CCCCAAAACCCCAAAACCCCAAAACCCCAAAACCCCAAAACCCCTTGGATGAAAAATAAATTGAATAATTTCAATATCGTGGAAGAATGTCTTTTAAAATTTAAGCTTTACCCCATTTTGGGCCAACTCTCTGGCTTTGTGGAACAGGCTTGATAAATGTCTTCTTGCTCACTTTGGAATAGCTGAGAGTGTCATTTCTTATGTTTGTGTCAAAGCCTTTGGCGCTCTGCATTCTACTAGTATCGTCTGACTTCAGATTAGAAAGAGGATCCTTGGGATCAGAATATTTCTCATCCATAAAGGCAGACGTGTAAGAGCAAGGGATTATATTCTTGGCTGCTAAGGTTTGAAATCTGTTATTCATTGGACCGCGAACTCCTATCTTCTTGGGAGGATCTTCTAAAACTCCACGTCTCTTGTCCATCTGTTGCATTTTTTTATTGGGACGAGTGTTTACTTTGAAATGAGGGTTAGCAACCACAAGCTTTGACTTCCACTTTTCATGCTCTGCTCTTTTTGCTTCCTCCATTTCAGCTATAACATCATCTCCTCCAAGGAAGACGGTGTTGAAGTAATCCTTTTTCGAAAAAGTTTCTAGATTTTGGATATTCAGATTAAACTCTGGTTTGTTTGGATCAGCAATCAAGTCTCTCTGAAGAGATTTGATTGCTGCTTCTTTCTTAGCCTTTTGGATATGGAAAGGATCCTTGAGATCATCAAGCACATCTTGGGAGGGTTTCTTCGGGTGAAGAGTATATTCCTCCTTGGATTTTCTAGTAACATTGTGGAATCCCTCCTTTGTCTTCCACTTACTCTCATTCAGAGTTTTCTCTTTTACCTCGATCTGATGCTCATTGACAACTGGAAAAGCAAGAGTGAGGTGATCTGGGGAGTAAGTATAATAATGCTTTTTATCTTTGGCTATTTTCTTTCTGAGAGTCTCTTTTTGCTGCTCATAAGTGTTCAACCTTTGTCCTGAATACATGTAAACCTCAGCTCCTTCAGGAACTTCAAGTCTCTTTCTGTTCGTAAATTGCTTGGTGGAGTCATACCCAAGATCATTCTTCTTGGTCTTCCGCATTGTTCTTGCATGAAGCAATTTCTGATCTTTATTTGTATCTGAGAGGGTAGTCTTTGTCTCTTTCATTTTGGTATCTTCCTTAGCCTTTTTGAAAGTATCTTCTTGTTGTTGAGTGAGCACCATTTGGATCTCAGGCTCTTCTTGGACCTTCTTCTTTTTAGGTTTTTGAGGAACTCCATATAAGTCTTTATGGGAGAGAGCATCTCCATATTTCCTCCCAACTGAGAGAAGAAGATCAGGATCAGGGAAGAGACTATAGTCCTTCAAGAATTTTATTCTGTTATATTTCCTCATTTCTGCAAGCTGTTGTAATGTCTCGTAGATTTCTTTTGGGACTTTTGATCTTAAAAATACATTAGGACTGCTCATTGTATGAGTCAGGGTATCTCTTAACTTGATCCTCTTGAGACTAGCTCCAAAGTCCCAATACTTTCTATACTTAAACTTAATGTCTGGGTTATAGAGGAGCTTTAATCTTTTCTTATTTGGCTGAGTTCTAGCATTCATTTTGTAAAACTTGTTCATACTGTGACCCTTGCCTCCAAGACCTTCTATGACGATCATTCTGAATTCAGAGTCCATAATTTCAAAGCCTCCGATAAAGTCTAATTTTCTGTTGTCTCTTTCTTCTTCGGAGAATTCTTTGGTGTTTAATTGTTTCGAATTCTCGAATCCAAGCAGTTTGAGATTTATAGTCTCTATTGAGTTTAGAATTTTATTTAGCAGCTCTGATGTATTTTCGTAAGGGAGGATATAGACTGCTCTTTCGTAGATAGCAGCATTTTCATCCTTGATTTCTTCGACAATAGATCCATTCAAGGATTTTTGCTCTTCTGATTTTTCTTCATCTTGTGGAGACTCTTCTTTTTCATCCTCAGGAGTAGCCTCTTGCTCGTCTTGGGGTTTGAGCTTGGAAAACTCCTCTTCTTCATCGAATTCACCGATGTTGTAGGCAAGGTCGACTGAAATCACATAGAAAGTTCCGTTAACAAGGTAAGGAGAAAATTTCTCGATAGCTCTCTCCTCCTTTCTAGCTGTTGTGTTAAGGTTCAGATTATTTTCTGTGTTTACTAATTCTCTCTTTACTGGGAAAACGTCTGATCTTAATTTCATATTACAACAAAAGTGGTTCAAGAGGTCTTGTAAGTGAAATTTAGCTAATCCATATGAAAACTTAGGAGGATCATTCTTATCTTCCTCGTTTATTACTTCATCCCAGTCGTGGAGTTCAAGATCTAGGGTTTTGGAAAGAAGCTGTTCTGAGAATTCTGCTGGGTCTTTCTCTCCAACTAGAAAGACATGCTTATGGCCCCATCTTCATAAATTCCCTTGAGGGAGCCCAACTGTTTTAAACGATTGACCGTCAACAAAGTTGCAGATTGTATATACTGGGAGGTACTTTGGCTCAGTTTTGTCAGGAATATCCTTGGCTGCTAGTATATAAATCTGCAATGGGTTAAGTTTCTTTCTTAAAAACTCTGATAATAATGCACGATCACTTGTGATTGATCATTTTAAATAATTCATAGAATGTGGATTCAGTTTATCGAATTCCCACTCTTCATTGATCTTTTCTTCAGGGAATAGGAAGAAGCTAAGATCTATTTGAACACTATCCTTGAGTTCATCTTCAGAGGTTTCATGGTTATACAGGTAGACATCAATTTTCATATTGAAATCACTCCACTTTTTAGCAACTTCTTCAGTTATTTTTAAAGGAGATTCCTCAAAGCTCTTGTTAAACTTGACAACTGTGGGCACAGGATCATCAATCTCTTCCATTCCACCCTTCTTGGGGTCTTTAGCCCCTTTCTTTTTGTCATCCTTCTTCTCTTCTGCTTCTGGATTTTCTTCCTCCCCGTCTCTTCTTAAGACTTCCCAGTCTTTTAAATAATCTGTTTCGGTTTCTTCAGCTTCTAGAGTATCTGGATTGAGCCAGGTGTATTTTAGCTTAATAAAATGACCCTTTTCGTGATAAACTTCGAAGTTAATATTGAAAATGACATCGTTCTTGGGGACTACATCTCCGTCATTAGCCACTTCTTCCTTTTTTGCACCCTTCTTTGGCATTAATTATTTTATTTTTAGCTATTATTATTATAAATCTATTGAGGGGTTTTGGGGTTTTGGGGTTTTGGGGTTTTGGGG